TTATTTTCACTGGAACAAAATAGATTATATTTACTTGCTTTCCCACATCACATTCTTCTAAACACTGTACTATACCACACTATCATAATATATAGGAAACATATACTCTCCCCACTCTCCAAGCTTCTTCCTAATGTTAAATATCTCAGCTTGCTTCACATTTTTTGAGGCATGTGTGTTTTTTAAGGTGTCTAAATGCATATGCTTTCAATAACATGGTTTTTGTCTCGCTTTTTTAAACACACTCTGCTTTGACAATTGCTCTCCTAATATTTGGTCCAGAGAAGAAAGTAAAAGATAGCAAAGTGCAGTGGGAATATTCGCTTTCTTATGCTAGATGATTATTATCAATTATTGTCACCTAAGATTGTGTAACATTTTTTAATAGACACATCACTTGCATGGGACTTATTTCATAGAGGTAGACATATAAAAACCCCTCTTATTCATCAATAAAAAGAAAATAGATTTACAGAGTACCTCTTTGTTTATGTTTTAGAGATACAGATATACCTATCATGTTCTCACAGTATAAATTAGAGGAATAAACTAAATAAGATTAGGAAGAAATCACAATAATAAAAGTGAGGGTTCTAAGTAACATCACCATGCTAGAATAGAATGCCTGAATCTACCAAACCAGAAAAATTTTAACCTGTTTTATTTCTTTCTCTACATAAGACATTACATCTTTAAAAAATCAATAAGTAGCAATATTTTATTGTGAAATGCAATACTTACACACAAATTATAAAAATAAACCTTCTTCATTTTTCTAGTTAATATGTTTTGTCTGATAAAAAAAATGTTTTCCCAAAATTTGAATATAATTTGATAAAGCCTAGGTGCCATCTTTTTTTACATCTGAAATCTGAAAATGTCCACTGTTTCCATTTGCTGCTCAGTTTTCAGAAGTTTACTTTCAGGAAAAAGGAACTAGAAACAGCATGTGGTTCAGACTCTGGATAAAAGGGTGAAGACTAAGGCAAAGTGAAGCTCAGGACTCATGCTTAACCCAGTCCAGTCAAATACCTTTGCAGTCACACTTTGTGGAAAAAGTAACTGGTTAAAATATAAAATAAGGGAATACCTAATCTTTCACACACTTTAAAGTAGACAGAAATACATGAAATGAATGCTCAATGTGAGAAAATTTAATTTTGTTTCAAATGTTTATCAAAACTCCTAATTTGAAGTTTTAACATCCATTCTAATTTTGGTGTTCTCTATCCTGCGATGATGTGTATTCTTTTCCCAATGCTGATAGGAACCAACTTCCTTCCAGATTATGTCTCGGTCACGTAGAGTAATTTGAACTTGTTGCAACATTAGATAGATTTTAATAAACAAGATTCTTAAAGGATAAAATTAAGAAATGTTTCCTGTTGTGGAGGGCTAGTAAAAAATGATTATTATTATTATTTTTTTTTCCTTTTTGTCTTTTTTCGTGTCCGGCAACGGATCGCAACCCTCAGTGTTGCGCCCGTACCGGACTGGGACCGGCAACAGGATCACAACCCTCGGTGTTGCTCCCACACCTCGCTCAGCCAGTGAGCGGGAACCGGTCTGTATATGGGATCCGAACCCTCGGCGGGAGCGCCACCGCGCTCCCAAGCAGCGCACTGTAGCAGTGCGCCACCGGGCCGGCCCAAAAAAATGATTATTTTTATATCTTGGTCAAGAAATACATAAGATCATATTAATGACCTGGAATATTATTCAAATTTGTGAGTTGGTAAGAAAAAAAATACCAGAATATGGTGAGGAATGAAAAGGAGAGTATTTAGTATTAGGTGGGTAACTGGAACATGCAGATTCTGATTAGATGTACAGAAGTTAAAAATACAATGGCATATAGTCAAATTGTTGATGAGAAAATTTATTTTATCCAAATAATTTAGATGTAAGAGTTACACACAATGGAATGGAAAGCTAGTAACAAAACCACAAAAAGGATCTCATGCAAACCTCAGTGAGAGGAGAGCTGAGTCTACAAAGTCCATAAGTTATGGCATCAGGCTGTCTTAAATATATCTTACCATCAAGTTCCTTGGGCAAAAGAAGACCCCAAGTGTGTGTAATTTACATAGCAACAAAATGATGTAAAGTTTTCACTGATGCCAAGTGTAGCTTAAATATGAAATTGATTATCTTTGGTAAAATAATTTCAGCTCAGCTGTGGCTCTTTCTGATAAGGTTCTTAACATAATAAGAAAAAAAGATTTCTTAAATGAACTTAGAGCAAGAAGTTTATTTCAAGTGATGTCGGAGGTAGTGTCTGGGGGACCCGACAGTCGGCCTCAACCCACCCCATCCTCTTACCAGGTTCTTGACTCTGCCTCAGGAAAGAATTCAAGAGCAGAGTCACTGTAGAAAGTGAGAACAAGTTTAATATAATAGATAAGAAATCCAGGTTCCACAGAGAGAGTGCGGCCTAGCTCCAGAGACTGAGCAGGGCTCACATCAAGTTTTACACAAGAGCAAGAAGTACTTAAAGCTCAGTACAGAATGCAGGTTGGCTCAAGAGAGTAAGCAGCTGCTTGCTAACACTGTTTGATACAAAAAGAAAGAATTACACACTCCACGAGCAGAGTGCAGGCTGGACCAAGAGAGTGAGCAACAGCCCAGCTTTCTGCTGAGATTTGGCTTTTATAGTTCCATAACCTAATGAATATTCAGTTAAAGAGGTGCTTCCCAGGTATGTAACATTAGTCTTGCACATGCTCAGTTGATCTCTTCCTGGAGCATGTTCATTGGTCAAATACTATCACATGCATCAAACATATTCAAGAATATTCTGTGCTCTCTAGCACCTCTACTGGAAGGTCATTCAGCTACCAGGGTTATATAACCCCTTTCTACTGAGCATGCCCAGCCCCTGCATTTCCATAAGCCAGCCTCTCGTGGTCTCATTTTCCAGGAGTTGGTGCTGAAAACAGATCTAACTTGCAATAGTAACTTTCCTCTAGGAGAGATCCTAGAGGAGGGGGCTGAGATCTCGGGGAGTGGCTGGAAACTCAGAGGTGTGTCCTGAAACCTGAGCCCAGGGACACTAAGCACCTCCTATATCACAAGGACACATGTTCTTGAGTACTTAAGGAAACTTGAACTAGACCTGGGGAAGGATTGTCACTGCAGAGCTCACGCATCATGCTTTCGCCATGTGTGTCTCACTCTTGCTCTTGCTTTCATTCTTCCCCTAGTTCTCTCTCAGAGTTTACATGTTCTCTTTCACTTATTCTCTCCATCATTCCTACTCAACTGGTTTTCTCCACCTCAACATCTGGCACACAACCATTATGGATGCCAGGTCTTTCTCTACATAACTTTTTAGTTAAGAGTCTGGCATGCATTGTCCACTTTTTTCTATAGCTTTTGGTCCTCGTTTCCAAGAATGGAAATCTTATTAGCTCAGCTAACTTATACCTGAGCTATAGACTGGCCGAAAGTTTAGTCAGTGTTCACTGTAGTACAAAGAACAGGCCACCGTCCTCTCTGGGAGAGGGAGCGTTGATTGTGGTTGAGTGGCAGGGTGTGAGGTAATAAGAGGATAAGTGGCTAACGTCATAGAAAATCCAGAACATGGGTGAGAAAGAAGCACAGAGGAGGATTTAAGCACCTGTGCTCTGAAGTCAGATTTCATGATCTGAATAACAGCTCCACACACTGAGCTCAAACTTCCTAGACCTGTGAAGTGGGCACACAGAGAGGACCTTCTGCATAAGCTAGTTGTGATAATTAATGACAATTGATGTGCCAGGCACCTAATAATCATGCAATAAATATCAAAAACAAACGAAGAAAAGTTACCTCTCACAAGAGGTCAAGAGAAAGAAGCAAGAAAAGTTGAATGTACAAAGAGAATCTGAGATGGAGAAAAGAACTAATGAATTTTCTGACTTGACGGCAGAGTAGAGTTTGCTGTCTTATTAAGCCTCTAAGATCTTAGTCTAATATGACCATAATTCAATGGAAGTACTGAGGTTTATTCGGTGATGGGGACCTACAGCCTGAGTGACATCCTTAAATGTTTATATATTAATAAATTTGTAAATCATATGTCAAATAATAATATGATAATATAAACAGCAATAACAGTAGTCAACATTTATTGATAATTTGCTGTGTGCTGGGGCTTGTCGTAAGGGCTTTTTATGTGTTAATCCATTTAGTACTCATATTAAGCCTAGGAGCCTTTATTATCACCATTTTAGGAGAAAAGAAAATGAGGCTCAGAGAATGTAAATAACTTGGCCAAAATTGCAAAGCTAGCAAGTATCTGAGGCACGGTTCACAGCCTGATGTCCTGCAAGGCACAATATGCTGCATTGTCTCTCTTATAAGAGGGACCTCTGGTAGCCCTCAGATTTTTTTCAATATATTGACAATATGGTTGAAATAATTTGAAGAAGATAACAAACTGCAAAAAATAAAATAAAATAAAAAAATAAAGAGTTCATTTATGAACAATGTAATGATAAATAGGTAATTTTTTTAAAAAAAGAACATAACTGGGGAAAATAAGTGTTTTCTAAAATTATTATTGATTATAAAAAGAATCTTGGAAAGTAAAAGAAATAGTTATTCAAAAATGGTAATGTCTAAAATCTTAGTGTAAGCTGTTTCCTTAGTCTATTTCCTCCATGAAAAAAAAAAAAAAAAAGCTTTTGAAGAGTTTGGCAAACTTAGACTAAATAGAGTCAGACTGAGTGTGACCTAACAGGAAGCCAGGCGACTGTAACTGCCAGTGATCTCTGAAACAGACTCTCAGGCTCCCTCTCTGCTCCAATAGACAGGAGCAACTTGGGTCTGGGTCATCGTCAAATTCTTACCTCGCCCTTTCACTGCTTGAAGGATCAGATTGCATTATGATCTCTGAAACAGACTCTCAGGCTCCCTCTCTGCTCCAATAGACAGGAGCAACTTCGGTCTGGGTCATCGTCAAATTCTTACCTCGCCCTTTCACTGCTTGAAGGATCAGATTGCATTTCTTTCAGTATTCTCCACTCCACAGTTTTTTGATCTGTTTAAAAGAAGTAAAGAAGATAATTCCTCTCGTCAGTACCTGGAAAGGATAACAAAATAACCTCAACTCCGTTTTGAAAAAAATCTTTCCAAGAACTTTCCTCAGAGATTTTACTCGTGAGTACTTGGCAATATGCTGTCTAGCCCATGAGAAATAACCTTTATTTCTTTTTCTTGGGGGAAAAGCAGGGTGCTGAGAGGCAAAGGGGAGGGGAGGGCCACCATCTATTCCTCTAAAATGAAAATCAACCCTTCTCTGTAAAAAAAGTGAACTAAAGTTGCAATGCAAAATTGATTTCTCAGCATTTTCCATTTAGTGTTTAAGCAAATATATGTGCAATGTTTATGCTTTTAAGACCATGAACATTTTTATAAGTAGTTGGTGAGATGTAGCCTTTTTTATAATTTTAAGATTGTAGTAGAATTCTTTACTAATTGTGTCTGGTTAATTGAAATTTTTTGAAGGTTTAGTTTAGCTTTAAATTTCATTTAGTAACATATAAAGAACTATAATAGACTATCTGTCACCCTGCTATTTAGAGAAACTTCTTTTTTTAGTTAGAGATATTTAAAATGAGGGATAAACATTAGAAGTCTTATAATCTAAACTAAATATTTTATGCCAGCATTAACTAATCTCTTTAAGGAAATATCTTACGAGTCTCCAAAGACCGAAGCTCATATTCTAAGACACTTAAATAAGAATAGTTATGTAAATCTTTATATTGTTCAATTGTGTAAATTAAAGCAATAAATTGCATACCTACATGATGTACTGTCATGTTCTTGTTGGTTCTAAAATAAAATTAAAACTTTGCTTCCGGCAATAAAAGAAAGCACATAATATAGCAGTACACAACCACAGAACTGTAATGAGACAATTAGTTAGTTATGAAAAAGCTCATTTGTATAAAAGAATTACAAAAATATGAGGGTCAAGAGCAGTGCCATGTGGGAAAAGAAAAGATAAGCAACAGCCACACTGTGACTCAGTGCTCTGGAAATTAGTCACAAAATGACTTTACATAATGTAAGATAATATAAACACAAAGGGCCGGACCCAGGCAGGAAACATCCAGCTCCGGACCCAGGCAGGAAACATCCAGCTCAGAGAGTCATATTGTATGTGTAAAGGAATAATATTTACATCAGAGAGGAAAAGTTGTGACAATTTTGAGATACTGCAAATTTTTAAACCTGAAGAAATCCTTTCATAAAACGTTTTGAAGATTCTTTTAAACTCATCATTCTAGCGCAGGACCCAGGCAGGAAACATCCAGCTCAGAGAGTCATATTGTATGTGTAAAGGAATAATATTTACATCAGAGGAAAAGTTGTGACAATTTTGAGATACTGCAAATTTTTGAACCTGAAGAAATCCTTTCATAAAACGTTTTGAAGATTCTTTTAAACTCATCATTCTAGCGCATGATTATTTTAAGGCATATTATCCATATCTCATCTAATCCTCAAGCTAAAGAGTGAATAGTCTCTTTGAAAACTTATTTCAATATGAAATATTAATTTGGGGCTATAGGTTAAAAAATGATATGAAATATGAATAAGGATCAACAGAGACTGAAAAATATTATTGTAAATATAGATAACTAACATAATAAAGTAAAACCTTAAAACAAGAGTAAACTACCTTAAAATACTTACTTCTTTAACAACTTGAGTAGTTCTATGTTGGGAAACCAAATTTGTCTTCTTCAGGTGACCATAGAATTTTGTTGAAAAATCTAATGACATAAATAACTTGCACTTCTATTTGGCTCTTCTCTCTGTTAGGTAGGCTGAATCAAACAAGTTTTTGTTTTGCTTTGTTTTGTTTTGTATTGTTTTTCTCTAAGGTACAGTCTGATATCTTTTGGCATTTATCTCCAGTGACTAGATCATAACTACTTTGGAAAATGTGGTTTCTGTTCAAATGGATTATGTCATCATCTGGTTCTTGGTGGTCTAATTGATTGCGTGTAACTCTATGCTTCATTTGCTTATTGGTTGCACAACTGTTTTAACTAGAATCATCTATTGTAAACATTATTGTTAAATTTAAAAATAATACATGAAATGTGACAATGTTTTTGTTTTAAATCACAGTTTTTATAACATTAATTTATTCCTTCCTTAAGAATTATTTTCTTGATCTTAATTATCTACATTATTCAAATTCAAAAGGTGAGTGGGCAGTATGACACATTACTAGAGGAAAAAAGCCAAGCTCAAAGGCTTAATTTATTTCCAGAATGCCTAGCAATCTAACAGAATAGTAAATGTGCTATTGATTTTTTAGAAATGGTTGGTTGATTAGATGTAGTGTCACAAACTTTAAAGACAGATTTCAGCTGATATTCCTATCACAATACAAGGGAAAAAATGCAAAGTAAACATCCTTGCAAAATATAAAAATAAAAAGGGAAGGGAGAGAACAATATGAAAAGTTAAGGGAAGTACTCAAAATAGGATTTTTAAAAAATCTTATTCTTTATTAGTACCGGTTAAATAAATTGAAAGACAATATAGATTAAAATGTGTTAATTATATCACCAATTTATTTTGGCTATGTAGACATGATCTATGAATTATACGACAATCCAACTCATCTGTTCTCAGTAAAGGTCTTCTCCAATCAGCCACCTTTTTTTTGTTTCCCATCTACAGCATTTAACTCATTTGGGGAACTTAACTTGACAGGTTGCCTTTTTTAAACACAATAATATTTATAAATGCATTATTGTCAAAAGTAGTATCTGCAGCCTTTTTTTTTTTTTTTTTTTCCTTTTTTGTCTTTTTTCATGTCCGGCAACGGATCGCAACCCTCAGTGTCACGCCCGTACCGGACCGGGACGGCAACGGGATCTCAACCCTTGGTGTTGCACCTGCACCTCGCTCAGCCAGTGAGTGGGAACCGGTCTGTATGTAGGATCCGAACCCTCGGCGGGAGCGCCACCGCGCTCCCAAGCGGCGCACTGTAGCAGTGCGCCACCGGGCCGGCCCTGCAGCCTTTTATAGAAATATGAACGATGCTATAATTCTTTCCAATTACCATGTGCATTTGTAGAAATCTGAACTCAATAGATATGGTAAAACAGGTCCTTCTTTCTGGATATCAGATCTTCAAAAATGAGAAAAGGGTGCAAGTTTTTCTAGTGAGTCCTTTTCATGCTAGACCATGTCTCTTGGCTCTCTGTGATCAGCTTTCTTAGCATTATGTATCAGCTTCAGGGGCCCAGTCTTCCCGTTACCCTTCTCTCTCTGTTCTCACTTCTCCAAGTGACAGGGGCCATGTAGAACCAGAGCCTAAGATTCAAGTCCCAAAAGGCTGAGGGCAACCTTTCTTCCTCAAAATCAGCAATAACAAAAAGTATTGGGCCCATGTCAAACCCACTGTTTTCAGCTCTCTTCAGGTCTCCCTTTGGGATCCTTTGTGCTCATTTGGAACAACCACATTTTAAAATTATTTTAGAAACAAAAGAATAAAAGGATGCCATGGCCCATAGTAGAAGTTCCAATGCTGCAATACTTCTATCCCTATTGTTCCATCTGGTGGACCTCAGGTCTCTAAGAAGACAAGAAATTTTCCAATCAAAATGTGATTGAAAAAATATTCTATGTTTTCTATTAGGTTATAATAAGGCTATTGCAACATCAGAAATGTAAGAGTATCCATCAATAGGACACTGATAAAATGTAACTAGTGATTTTATTACTGAGCACAGTGCACCACTGACACCCTTGAACTGTAGCTCGGTTTCAGCGCCAATACCACTCTGCTGCCAACCTCACTCTATCTTCCCTGCTATTCTTGACTGTTACCTATTCCTATCTAACCCTTAAATCCCATAATAATTTGTCTCTAAGCATCACCAAATTCCTCATTTCTCAAGGCTTAAAAACAAAGTTAATCTCAAATGGGGTGAGTTTCCAGAATAACGATATTTGTTGTGAATACTTTGGTAATATTTCAACAGTCCTTTTAGGAAGCTTCAAACTCCCTTCTATCTTCCCTGCTATTCTTGACTGTTACCTATTCCTATCTAACCCTTAAATCCCATAATAATTTGTCTCTAAGCATCACTAAATTCCTCATTTCTCAAGGCTTAAAAACAAAGTTAATCTCAAATGGGGTGAGTTTCCAGAATAATGATATTTGTTGTGAATACTTTGGTAATATTTCAACAGTCCTTTTAGGAAGCTTCAAACTCCCAGATTCATTTCATCTCAGAAAATAGATCAAAATGGTAATATTAAAATGTCATTTTCCTATTCACCCTTTCTTGTGCTACTGATATCAAACATACACAAATACAAAACAAATGAAGTTCTGATCCCCAATGCGCAGATGTATCTTGAAAATAATGCTAAGTGAAATAAGCCAGGTACAAAAGGACTTATAAGCATTTCTAAAGTAGGGAAATTTACAGAGACAAAAAGTAATTAGAGGTTATCAGGGCCTGGATAAATGTTGAGTTATTGTTTAATGGGTACAGAGCTTCTGTTTTGGGTGATCAAATTTTTGGAAATAGATAGTAGTGATGGTTGTATAACATTGTGCATGTAATTCATGCCACTGAGCTATACACTTAAATTGGCCAAAATGGCAAATTTCAAGGTATATCTATATTACCCAAGAAAAAAATTGTAAAAAAAAAAAAAGACATCAATAAGAATTCAGTTTGAAGAATTACAGATGCATGATGATATTATCTTTACATTTTCTTAATTAATAGATTAAAATGCACAGATATTATAATGCTGGTTGCCTGAATTTTTAAAAACGAAAACAGGATCTTTCTGTTTGAAATTGGAACATATTTTTGCATGATGTTGCTATAATGAAGGCTAACCTTTTTTATTCATAATGTCTTTTTCTGCTTTTAGTATTCTATTCTTTTAAATTCTCTGGAAGAGTTTGTGTAAAATTAGTGTTATTTCTTCTTTAAATGTTTGGTATCTGAGGGTGGAGTCTTCTTTGTGGGAAATTTTGTAATAAATTTAATGTTTAAAATATAATTATAGCGCTATTTGTGTTATCTATTTCTCCTTGAGTAAGCTTTAATACTTTGTGTCTTTCAAGGAATTGGTCCATTTCATCTAACATGTCAAATTTATTG